ACAGAAAAAGGTCCAATTAAAAATTTATCAATTATTCCTGCCCATACGTTTCAACTAAACTGGTGTTGATGTCCTGAATGCGCAACAACGTGTGGGTTTTCTTCATCCCAATTATGATTATTATGAAAGTTGAATGTAACATCCTTGGTAAAACTAGCTCACTAGAGTTTACTCTGTTTATAAAATTCATTATATCTCATAAACAAAGACAGATAGGACTTATATTTATATGACTTTTTTTCATTATTTTCAGGCGTACAATTAGCTCCCGAAGTGGGTCCCACAAGTTACAAAACACTCTGTATATTTAAGTTTTCAAACGCCTCGTTTAATACACCTCTATATGGGCACCATTAGTTGCACAAAGCACATCAAGACGATACTCGATTTATTGCACGATCAATGTTTTTCTCGGACGTTCTTGGTCTCATCGATCACCGTCTCCATAAATTTCTTGTGCCATGCACGAATTGATGGACGTGACGGTGGATCTCTTCCATACTTAGTTTTGATAGTTTCGCTGAATCTGCAGACCCGATTTGGTTTCAACAAACCATGTTGATACACACTGTGCCTTCTCTTGAGGAGTGGCCATTTTGTTAAGGAATTCATTTGACAGTATCTTATCATCAACCTCTGTACTGTTAGTATGCACAGCAATGTGCATGCTGCTAATAACCCTGCTAGAGGATTCTCTATAGCGTAAATGAAAAAGAAAAAAAAAAAAAAAAAAATAGAAGCTTGTGTCCTTTATATTGAATCGTTAACTTTTTCTTGTACCATGCGCTTGAATTTCTCTGCCATAGACATCATACTTTTTCGTCGGTAGTTCTAGTGTTGAACGAAGCGAAAGAAAACTTAAATGTACACGCCTCATTTTGTAATAATTTCCACTCGTCTGCCGTTTCATTTGCCTTTGTGTTGAAATTTTTCAAATTGTAAAGAGACTTTATGGACACCGAAAGTGTATCGAAAGTCGGATCAAAACGTGTTGAATCGGTTGTCGCAGGTGGCGTCGGTGCTGGCTCTGTTCCCGGTTCCGCAGATCTCGTACATGGCCACGTCGCCGTTTCTCAGCAGCAAGGAGAGGTTCCCGCGGTTCTTCCGCACGGTGCCGAGCGACGTGAACCAGGCGCGAGCGATGCTGGAGATTCTTCGGTGAGTGAGAAAATGGAGGCTTTCGAGACAGCGAAACGACTTGCTTTTTTTTCTCGAAGCGAATTCAAGTGGTCGTACGTGTCGGTGGTTTACACGGACTCGGAGTACGGGGACCACGGATACGAGACGCTGACTTCGTTGGCCAGCGAGTACTCGATATGCTTCAGCGCGCCACATCGAATCAGCGACGATCGCTTCACCGAGAAGGATTACGACCATGTGATCCTCACGATCGCCGAGAAGACGGACGTTCGAGGTTCGTAGCCTACAAGAAGAGGTCACGGCTGTTTGGTCGTCGATTCCAAAGCAAATATAATTTGACCGTGTCCGAGCATTTCAGTTAACACTTATTATTTACAGAGATGTTTAATGTTTTAATCTTCTACAGATATACTCCAGAGATATATTTCTTTTCTTAAATTTGCAAGCAGTAATGCAGTAGCGAAGTTGATAGTGTAGTGAATTCATATCCGGTGATGTTTCAGGGTTCGAATTCTCCCAGGGAAAAATATATTTGTATGATCTCTACTTTTGTTTTCCTACTTTTTCTTTTAAGTTTTCTTGTTTTTTTTTTATGTAGAATACTGTGTTTTACATTTTCGCAG